TTGTCTTCTTGACATTGAGCCTCAGTCCATACTGAAGGCTGCAGTCCTTGACCCTCCGCAGCAAGTGCATGAGGTCCTCCTCAGTTTCAGCAAGCAGGGTTGTGCCATCTGCATAACGTAGATTGTTAGTAGATCTTCCACCAATTCTAATGCCACAATTCTCCTCATAGAGCTCAGCCTCTCGGATAATCTGCTCTGCATACATGTTGAAAAGGTATGGAGACAGGATGCATCCCTGGCGTACACCCTTCCCAATTTTGAACCATGCAGTGTTACCCTGCTCTGTTGCAGAGGTCGGAGAGGCCATTTCGTATAAATGAAAAAGAACAGTAAAATGCCAAAACCTAAATAGACAGGCTTGGCTGCAAAGCCAGCACCAGAGTCTTCTCACCTCGCACGACTGCACGACCCTGCATCCGGCGCCTTCGCAGTGCACGCTGGGACTTGTAGTTTCCGCTGTGCGAAGACCTGCACGCACCTCCGTCCACTACAGCGATTCCCGGAAGCTGGGGAAGTTTCAACGCTTCCTCTCCTCGCCTCTTAGTCCCGCAGATTGCCAACGCAATCAGCCAATAAGAGGACAGACTAGAGATTCCTACAAAGTGATTGGCTAAAAAAATCTTGCGGGCGCCCAGACAAGTTTGCCGGGGATTGGCTGAGCCTTCGGTTTTGAAAATCGTAGGCTTTGCCCGCGCTACCTGGCCCCATTGCGTCTCCGGAGCTGCGAGCCTGGAGGCCCCGCACCGAGCGGGTCTGGGCGGGCCGGCGGCTGGCTAGCGAGTCCGCTGGACTTGGATCGCAGAATTACGTAGGAGACGCGGGACCGTCAAGTGAGTGCACGCGGGCGGCCAGCGGGGTGACGGCTATTTGTGACCCTCCCGCCGGCCACTGACCGAGGGCGTGACTCCTTTCCGGCCCCAGGAACACAGGGTCATCTCTTCCGAAATAACCTTCTCCTTCTACCGAGAGAATACCCGCGCCGGGACCCTTCCTCCGCTCTAACCCCGGTGTCTGGCAGCTGTTTTTGTACCTGGAAGGTGCACGCTCTTTGTTGACTTGGACTGCGCAAGAGTTTCTGTATAGTTAGTCCCTCTCCCTCCCCCCTGTGCAGCTTACAGCATTGTAAAGCTGAGGTTTCGGGGGCCGATGCTCCCTTTATCTTGTCAACCTACCCCAGCGCGCTCGCTGACAGCAGTTCGGTTCCGACCTCGGGCGGAAGTGCCTGGAGCCGACCGGAGAGGCTGCATTTGAGAAGCTGAATCCGGGAGCCGTTACAGCTCCTCCTTCTGAGCACGCTTTGAAGTCAAGCTGCACCCCTATGCTTGCCGAGTGACGTTGGCTTCATTTCTCTTTGCTTCATTCGTCTTATCTGTACGTGAGCCGCCAGGCTGCGCTGAGAATTCAGTGTTAAGTGATGCCGGAGGAGGGAGTAACCCGAGCAGTTGACATTTTATGCGCCAAGGGGTGTGATAGGAAGGGTACATGGGGTAGATGCTCTGTGTCCTGCATCTTGTGAACTGGAGCGGCCGAGGGAGGTGGCTAATGTAGTTTTTGGTGGGAGAGAAGCAGCTGGAGGCCGACCATGAAATCACTTAATGAGCCTCCCTTGGCAGGACGTTTGGCACCAGGTGGACGCTGGAACTCTGGGTCTGTGCATGGAGGTTTTTGCTGTTCGTCCTTGGAGCAGGATTCTTGATACACCGAATTCTATCTCAGCATCAACTCTTACAACTTTAAGTGGCTCTTTTATTAAGTGACCAAGCTGAGAGCTGCTAAAAACAAACATCTTTCATGCTGGAAACCCAGTTGCCTCATTACACTCTTGCTCTTATTGCTGTTTCAAATGTTTTACCAAAAAAAAAAAACAAACCACAAACAAAAAACCTAGCAAGTGGTTGCTTTCTGTAGCTCCTCTGTGAGCCTGTGTTTTGATTTCTACTTCCCTTAAACAGTTCCTATCTTTTTGACCTTGAACTGGGGTCTTGGAGTTTGTGAGGGTTCTGCTCTGGGGGCGGAGGGACTCAGGGGAGCCAGCCCATGACTTACTGGCTGCAAAACGGGTGTTTGTACAAAGGCTCTGAGATCCTACCCCTGTGACTCACGCTGCTGCTGTCCAGGTAGCTGGGGCTTTGCAGATGGATGATGGGCCCTAACTTGTTGAGGATGAGTTCACCGCATGTCCCTGTGTGTTGGGTGTGTGTATGTGTGTGGGGAGTAGTTTGGTGCCTGTAGGTAGTTTTAGTTTTAGGTGCAGAGAAATTACTTTGTGGTCAGATGGGCAGGTCAGCAGTAACCCAAGCGTCATGCAGAAAGAGAATTGAAGTCAAAGAGATGTGACAATGGTGGAGTGGGGATATGTTCTCAGGTTTGCTCTGAGGAACCGAAATCCCAGCGCTAAGGAGCAGACTTTGCCAAGTGGGGAACAGAACATTCCAGACAAAGGGCAGTTGTACCAGGAGCAAAGGGGTCCAGAAGAAGTCCTGTCAGGCTGCAGCCTGACCTGGTGTTAGACTTGGAAGAATCACAGTTTCAGTGACTTAGTCCCCACTTCCAGGACCTTCTGTTTTAGGTGAGGACTCTATACAGTTTTTCTCGATTTTGGAGGAACAGATTGGTTGGTGGGTCACTGTTATGCCATTTTGCCTTATGACTGGCCCTCACCCCTTCATTTGCTCTATTATTCATTCTCTGGGGTATCTATTGAATCTCAGCTCTGAGGAATAGAATGCTTGGTTCTTGCCCAGGGCTGCTCTGTGTTGCTTTTATAAGGAAGTCATCATTCATTCATTGTGTTTAAACAAAAGTTTACAGAAAACTTGGATTTCCATTCATTCATTGTTAGTCTTAAGAGTATACGCAAGTGCCTAACTTGGTTTTTTCCTTTTGTAACACAAGAGGGCAGCACTAAAGTTCGTATACATTGTGTTTTACTCTATTCTTCATTCATATTGTGTTTGAATCATTCTCATGCATTATGTTTTATAAAATTAATCACCATTGGACTTTGCCCATCATTACCCTGTCTTTCACCTGGATCCTTCCCATTTCCTTATCCCCCTCCAGTCACCCACCAAACTATGCAACTCTGTGATTTCTCCCCTACCCATCCTTAGCCCACTGCTCCCACCCTTACCCTCTTTGTTTGTTGTTATGTGCCGTCGAGTCGTTTTCGACTCATAGCGACCCTGTGTACAACAGCCCTAAACCCTGCTCTATCCTGTGCCAATTGCACTGCCTCCAACACACCCATCCCTATTACCCCAGTCACTGAATCAATCCACCTCATAGAGAGTCTTCCCCTCCTGCTCTGTCCCTCCACCCTACCAAGCATGATGTCCCTCTCCAAGGACCTGTCTCTCCTTACAACATGTCCAAAGTATGTCAGACGAAGCCTCAGAATCCTTCCCTCCAAGGAGTAGCCTGGTTTAACCCTCTCTAGGATGGATCTGTTTGTTTTCTTGGCAGTCCATGGGAACATTCAATACTCTTCTCCAGCACCACAGCTCAGAGGCGTCAATTCTCCTTCTGTCCTCCCTAGTCATTGTCCAACTCTCTGATGCATAACAAGCGATTGCAAAGACCATGGCCTGTATCAGGTGCACCTTAGTTTCCAGAGAGACACCATTGCTCTTGAGTACTTTAGAGAGGTCCCTAACCGCAGACTTTCCCATCGCAATACGTTTTTTTATTTTCTGGCTGCTGGTGCCAAGAGTGTTGACCATAGAGCCAAGCAAACTGAAGCTGTGAACAATCTCAATCTCTTCACCATCCATCCTGATGCTACCCTCCTTAGGTTCCCATAAATGTTTTACTAGTTATCCTTTTACTTTTTCATGGTATTAGGCAGTATTTGTCCTTATGAGACTGAGTTAATCCATTCAGCATAATGCTCTCCATTCTCTCCCGTCATGTAGTATTTTTTGAAATTGTTGCCCTTGAGTGCTACATAGAATTCTATTGTGTGAATGTACCGCCATTTCTCAATCCATAAAGTTGTGATTGGACATTTGAATGCCTAACTTTTTAAGATATCAGGAGATTTGATTTTATGCTCTCCTTGTCTGAAAATTTGCAGACAAGTTAGGCTGTTGTACAGCAGTTCAAAGGTACATGGCTCAAATCCACCAGCTGCTCTGTGGGAGAAAGGTTGGCAGTCTCCTCCTTGCTATTTACAGCCTCTGAAAACTAGAGAGTCAGCTGTGGCTGATTTCTGATTGAGCGCCACAACAGCAGCAGCATTGCTTATCCGGTTCCCTAGTGCTCCTGCTCTTCTGTTTCCAGTTCAGTGGAGAGGGCTCCGCCATGTCTCTGGGGAGGTGCAGTCTCTGGATCCCTATTTCTTACTGATTTCTTTGAACACAGACGCCTGTCCTCCTAGTCAGTGACCTTTTGAGGAGGCAGTTAGATTTGGTGGTGGTTTGGCCTGATGTCTGGGGTCAGGCCTGCAGGATGGTACGAGTGACCTGTGCTGGGCAGGTGGGCTGGGCCCCCATAGTTGGCACTGCCTCTCCCTGGTGCAGAATGGCTGTTGCTATTGGCCCTGGTACTTCCGTTGCCTCTGTAGCTCTTCTGTGGACTTTGGTTTCAGCTTCCTCACAAAGGACAGAGACCTCTGCTCTGCAGCCACACGCACTCGTGGGCTTGACCCACTCACGGCCATTGGTGTAATAGGAGGGAAAGACCATTTGTCTAAGGGAATTATTGTTGATATTAAAATGGACCGGGAAGTGTGGGCTTGGGAGACAGCTCTGTGTGTGTGTGTGTGTGTGTGTGTGTGTGTGTGTGTAAAGGTGTTAGAAAACGTGTGTGGAGATGCAGAGGTGAGGGCAGTGGGTTGGTGTTTGGATCCTGCAGCTGTGAATGGGGAGGGGCTCCCCCTAGGTCCTGGCTGATTGGCGGTGTTGGCAGATGCGTGCTGCCCATGTGGCACGCTCCTCTGGAGAAGACCAGCCCTGAGCCCTTGTGACTCTTGTCCCTTGCCTTCTGCAGACAGAGCCACCATGGTGACGTCAGGCCCAGGGCCCGTCCACCTGCTGGAGCTGTGTGACCAGAAGCTCCTGGAGTTCTTCTGCAATGTGGACAACAAGGACATGGTGTGGCTGGAGGAAATCCAGGAGGAGGCGGAGCGCATGTTCACCAGGTGAGGGCAGCGGCCTGGGGCCATGGCAGTGGGCGGACAGCAGCTTGCCCCAGTGAGTGCTTGGCGAGAAGGGGAAGCAGAGGCTGAGCCCTTCATGGGCGGGAGCCCTCCTTGGGGCAGGACAGGCGCTTCTGACAGTGGTGGGCAAGGAGCCCCTGGTGGCCAGGGAAGGAAGCACAAGTGCTTGGGTTCTCACCTACCTGCCTCTCCCACCCCTTCCTCTTTGCCCAGCCCCTTCCTGTAGACTCCCTGCTGCCTGCTCCTACACTCTGTGACCCTGCCCTCCCCCCCCCCCCAGGGCAGGCTAAGGTGGACCTGGGGTGGGTAGATGCAGGTGGGAAGAGAGGGCAGTGAGGGGATCCAGGCTAGCCTCCCCCCAGACTTCCTTTCCTTACTTCTTGCCAGCAGTACTCCTGGCCTCCCTGCTTTTCTGAGTCTCTCCTTGGACCCCTTTCCCTCTTTGGATTTCCTTCACACCCCCTGCCCAGCCCCTCTAGATCCTAACTTTTCTGTGTCAGGGCCTTGCCTTGCAGTGGGCTGGGCCTTGGACAGTAGACTGAGGGGTGGGCAGAGACTGGCCTGTAAGCCTTTACTCCTGCATGTCTGCAGGGGGCTTGGGCGGTAGACTTGTATGGGGAACAAGAGGGCCTCTGGGAGCTCGTCAAGAACCAGTCACCCCAGCTTGGCTGCCTCTGTCAGGAATTGGGGATTGGAGGGGCTGTGCCCCTGGCTGGCAGTTGCCAGGCAGCCACCAGCATCTTCCTTGTACTGAACAGAGAATTCAGCAAAGAGCCCGAGTTGATGCCCAAAACGCCATCTCAGAAGAACCGACGGAAGAAGAGACGGATTTCTTCTGTGCAGGATGAAAACAGAGACCCAGTTCGGAAGAGGTAGGAGGAGCTGGACCCCACCACTAACGGGTTAGGAGGGTCTGCGAGGCTTTACGGAGTGGGTTTTGCTTCCTTGGGTGTTAAGTGGAGCCTGCCACCCGGAGCCCCTTGCAGGAGCGGGGGTGGTGGAGGGTCAGACGGACCAACTGCAGCATGGATGGGAGGTGTGTTGGTGTGGCGCGGGTTTAATCTGGGCCTTGGAGGTGGGAAGGATTCACAGAGGAAGGAGAAGGCATCTTCTCTGTGGGGTGAGGGTGACCACAGTGGGCCAGGCAGGTTTGTGCCCAAACTCTTGCTGCTGCGGGTTTCCTGGGCTCTGATTGGAGTGGCTGTGGGTGGCAGAGACCTGCGACCCAGCTCTGTCCCTATGCCCAGGGCTGATTTCCACCTCTCTGAGCTTTACTTTCTTCTAGACTAGTCTCACGGCCTGCCTGTTCCTCAGAGCCCTCTTGGAACATTGAGCGTGTGTATAGTCTCCAGGGGATCTCAGTCTCTGCGAGCTGTCCTAGGGACAGTCCTTTCATGTGTGTGACTCTGAGGCTCAGTCCTGAGTAGCATGGTATCATGTGGCAGAACCTGGACCAAACCCAGGTCGTTAGCCTCTGGGCCCCGGCAGCTGAGCTGGCAACTTGTGGGGAGACTGGTATGTGTCTGAGCTCCGTTTTGGAGTGCCTCAGCCCTGCTGGGAGCCCTGTGGTACAGTGGTCAAGTGTTCAAACCCACAGTGGCTAGAGGGGGAGAAAAAGCCCCCTGTCTAGCTGTTGCCGTAAAGATTACAGCCTACGAAACCTCCAGCCACCCGGGGGGTGCCCGCCTCAGCCCCTGCTCTGCCACCTCCGGCAGGTTGTCCCACAGGAAGAGTCGAAGCAGCCAGCGGCACTCTCACCGGCTCCGTAGCAAGGACAAGGTGGACACGCGGGCCACCTTGGTGGGCGAGAACGGCTCTGTGCTGCGGCGGGTGACCCGGGCTGCTGCCGCTGCGACAGCCACCATGACATCGGCAGTGCCCTCGCCTGCCCCCGAGTCCCCCACGACGCTGACCGGGAAGCCCAAGAATGTCCCAGCCCAGTGCCAGCTGGTGCCCATGGTGCAGATCGATACCAGCGAGCGCCTCAGTGCAGAGAAGCGTCTCAGCCAGCTCAAGTTGGCCCAAATTTCCGCCCTGAGTGCCGCCTCCGTGGGCGCCCAGACCTCCGATGAGGAGTCCACACCCAAGAAGTCAGACGCTGGGAGACTTGACTCTGTGGCTGTGAGCTCCCTGATGACCACCCCGCAGGGCCCGGGGGCCAGCACAGGGCGCACCGCATCCAAGCTCAGGATCGCACGGGCCTCCCCCTCGCCCCCACGCGACACCCCTTCCTCCACGGGCTCCCCATGGCAGGAGCGGGTGCTGGCACCCATCCAGCTGAATAACTTCTCAGCAGCGGGCTCCCACACCAAACGGCCCCCGGTGCGGCGCAGCCTGATCGCCCCGGGTGACCAGACCTCACTGGCCGAGAAGTACTCTCTGATCACCAGTCAGGAGCAGCCCATCCGCAGGTCCAGCCGAAGGATCGCAAACAAGGCTACCAAAGAGCCGGCCGCCTCTGGCCGCATCATCTGTGAGTCTGGGGCCTGGGCGGTCAGTGGATGGGTGGGCAGGTGGACGGGTGGCTGGCGGGCTGTACTGCTCCACTCAGCCAGAAGGTTCTGGGGGTCATGAAACAAGGAGCTGCCTAGTCGAAGGTTCTGTAGCGACAGCCGCATTCCCTCTCTCTGCTGTCCTGTACGGGGGCCATGGCCACGTGTGCCTCTCAGGTCCTTAAAGTGTGGCTAATGTGATGGAACAGTTGGAATTTCACGTTCACTAAGTTGTAATTCACATTTAAATAGCCACAGGTAACTGGAAGCAATGCCTCTGGAAGGAAACTGTGGACTTGGATAAATGTCGATAGTTATAGAAAGGCTTCAGGCCTTCTTTCATAGGGTCACTATGAGTTATGCTTGACTCGAAGGCAATCAACAACAGGAGGTATTGGGTTGACGGGGCAATCTAGTCCAGTACTTTTGTTTCACAGATAAGAAACAGGTCCAGGAGGGTTTTCCACTGTGGTCTTGGGCCCCAGGGCCAGCATGTTCCTCCCTCCACCCCCTCCTGCCAAGCCTCCCTTACACCCACACTTGTGGGCTACCAGCAAAGCTGTGTTTAGTCTGGAGATACGGAGGTGAAGAGACGCGAGTTCTCATCAGAGCCGCTCTGTGTAGGGAGGCTGGTGATAAGATGTCTGATAAAAGGCAGAGAGGGAAGAATCAAGATGGCTCTGGTCCCATTTCTCTCTGACGCCCTGGGCAGCTTCAGAATTGGCTCGACGTGCCTCAGTTTCTATGACAGCCTCATTCATTTCTAAGGACCCTCGTGAGACTACTTTGTTCATCCACATGGCCTCCTTAGACAGTACCTGGTCCTGAGTAGGACTCAGTAATATTAGCTGCTCTTAACCATCAACACGTCCCAGCAGGAGTGGATGTCAGGAGTCATGAGGAGAGATAGCAGCCAGAGAGACTGGGGAAGAGGTGGAGTCTGAGCTGGAGGGTTTGTGAGCATGCCTGGGGAAATATGTGAGGAAGTAAAACTGCAGAGGGAACAGCCTGTGCACAGACCCAGAGGAATGGATCCACAAGTATTGGGGTGTCTGGCGCCCCTAGGGAGGACATGACCCAGTGGTAGTTCTTGGAAGGCCCTGGTACTGAGAAGTGGGAAGAGGAGGGAAGTCAAGAGGGGTGGGGTGGGTAGGCTGCTGTCAGGGTCTAAGTGGAGGGATGCAAAACTTGGAAGAGAATCTGCCAGCAAAGAGCAGGTTAGTGGCCCCTGCCCTGACGAAGCCAGTGTGGAGTCGTCTCTTGGGCTGAGGAAGCCGCTGGCTGGGCCATTATCCTCTGCACAGTGGCCAGCTGCTCAGAGGGGACCGGTGGGTAAAGCAGTGGGGAGGCATCTGGTGCTCGGGTAGGTGTGTGGGCGCTGGAATAGTTAGGCAGGGGAGATGGGAGATTGTGACAGGGTTTCCAGGACTCTGCTTGCAGGCCAGTCTTTTCCTTGGGTCTCCCACAGCCGCCTTCCTGTCCACCAGAGGGGCACTGAGACCCAACTGGCTTGTGAGGAACCAGGCATATACGTTCTGGAGAAGTCTCTATGCTGTTGGAACTGTATGGTCTCATGGGCATCTTCCTACCCTGACAATTAGGTGCCCTCTTGCCCCATGGCCAGACTCGAGATGGTGGGAGCCACGGCTTCCGGCCATACCCTCCAGCCAGTCCCTTGCGTCTGCCATCCTTACCTGGTGCACAGTTGCTTTCCACCCAGAGGCCCCAGCTGCAGGGTTCTCCATGGCTGTTCTCATTTGCTGCTCTAGCTTCCTGCTTCCTGTCCATCCTACCTCTTCCTTAGCCCCTTGGGTGTCCCTGGCCTTACCCTGGCTGCCTCCCAGCCTCACCTCTGGTCAGCTGTCCTGAGGCCCAGGATGCTTGAGCCCAGTGGCTGCCTTTTAGTTCTCAGACGGGAGTTCTCTTTCCTGCCTCTTGGCCCACCCAGCTCATCAGTCTCGATGCTTGCTTGGTTTAAAAATGACTAGGGGGCCTCTTAACAGCTTTTGATTATGAAAGTTTTTATCTATTGATGTTTACTGTAGTAGAAACAAAAGCAGATAGTTTTAAAGCATTCATTAATTGATTTTAAAATCAAAAGAACTAGATCATGGTATGTTACCTATTGTCCTTGTGATGATTGTCTGTTGGGTTCCTGATTGTCAGTCTTTACAGGAGGAAATTGTCTTATCATTTTCACTTGGAATGGCCAAAGGATTTGAACTACTACTGACCTTGCAGTTCACAGCCCATGAAGTGACACACTAGGCCAGCAGGGATCATAAGAATTTTTCATGGAAAAAGAACTTCCAGCCAAAAAGGACCAGTGAGGACACTGACAGTCCCATGTTCTATTTTTTTTTTTTTGTCTCTTTAAAGTGTGGCTTAAAAGAAGGTAGCTGTTTTTCTTATATTCAATCTGTTATATTATGTTGTTGGAGTTAAAGTGTATGAAGGAGATCTGGCTTGAGCAGTGTTTAAAGTGCTTGGCTGTAAAGTGCTTGGCTGTGAACCACAAGGTCTGCAGTTCAAACCCTGGGAGAATAGTGAGGCAATCCACCAAGATTCACAGCCTTGGCAGTCCTAAGGGGCCACTGTGCTCTGTTCTGTCCGAGCTCAGTAAAATCTGACCTCACACAGATACGGAACTAGAAAAGGGAAGACAATTTAGTATCTTTTTCAGATAAATTGTTTGTATTCTTTGCTGTTATATGCAACCCACGGGAGCTCTGGTGACAGAGGCCACAGGGAGTTAACGCTGCCGACTCAAAGTTGACTGACCTCTGGTGGTTTGAATGGACCATTAGCTCTGGTAGAAAGATGGACAGTCTCCCCCCTGTGATTTACAGCCTCCGCACCCCAACTGGAGAGTCAGTTATGAACCAGCTTCCACTTGATGGCAGTGAATATCCAACCCACCAGTGAGGGTTTCTTAGAAGTTCATTGTCATCTAAGAGCAGATTCGGGTCCACAGTGGTCAACACCGTGCTCTAGGTGGTCTTACAGCCCTGTGATGCTGTGACCTCACGCATTGCTCCCTTGGGAAAGCAGGCAGATTGTCCAAATGTCAGCATACTTCAACACACGGAATCCAGGAAAACAGACATTCATTTCCTGATCTCACCGGGGAAAGCTTTTTGATACTTAAAAGCTCATGATGGTGGGTTCATGTTTAAGCCTGAATGCACAATTCTTATGTTCTGATAGGCAACAAATTCCGTTTGGGTTTTTATTTATTTGTTATTGAGTTTTGAATAACAAGCTCACTTCATTTGTTTCTAAGTAAATTGTCTACCCTGTCACAAAGACCAAATAACTTACTATATCAGCCATATTTTCCACCTAAAAGTCTCTCTCATTGCTGTGAAGTCAGAACTAACTTAGAGCTGGCCTCCGTTGGATTTCTGTGGCTGTAAATCGCCCATCCTGCTCCTGCAGGGAGAGTGTGGACTTGGGCCACCAGCGGCACCTTTGACTGAGCAATGCAGCTCCCTGCAGACCAGGTGACCCGGGCGGCCAGTTCAGCTGGTAACTCAGTCACGGGAACCGCATTTTGCATGCTTGCTGCTTTGTCAAGCAGAATGTTATGAATACGTAAGCTCACGTTTAGGTTTAGTAAAATTGATACTGTTTCTTCCTTCATCAGGCCCACTCTTAATGAGGCTGGACTTTTTTTATGGCAGGTGTGACATTCGGTACCATTTGGTGCCATGCTTTGTGTAACGGTGTCCACAGCTCTATCTGCCTTTCTCTGCACCATCGATACAAACATCAGCAACGTGAAAGGGCAGTAGTGCTCTAGACAAATGGTGTAAATAGTGATGACCTTGGATCTTGGATGCTCCAGGGTCCCGAGAAGGCACTTTGGAGACCACTGCTCTGATGTCCTGCTCCATCCGACTCTTTTTTTGTCTGTAGATGCCTTAGTTTTCGGATCTGATCCCCAGACCAGTCTGGGCTCCCCATTCTAGGCTTTCAAACCGCTTTCAAACCCCTCTACTGTTTCTCTGTCACCATACATGTACAGTGCTGTCTGTAGGATTGCTTGATGATTGGTACCCCGACTGGGTACTGGCCCCATCCGTTGTCTCACCATGGTGTCCCCTTGGCCTGGCCCAGGGCCCAGGGGTAAAGTGTCACTAAGTCCCTGTTCAGTAAGTTGTTTTGTGCCTGGCCATCTCCTGGGAGTAGTTGAGTCAGTCAGGCACTGTCTGTCTTCCTAAGATGCTTCCAGCCCCGTGAAGACGTTAGAGGGAAGTAGCAATGGAGATTCATTATTCCACTAAGCTTAAAACTGGGATCTGAGGGACCTGTGAGGCTGTGCACTCAGGGTAGCGAGCAGGACCTCTGCTTCAGCAAGGAGGGGGCTACATGGCTTTGGAAGAGACGCTAGAGCCTCCTGGAGCCTGGGCTGTGCTGAGGGGCCCTGGGGCTGCTCCGGTTGATTTCTCATGGCGTCCTTTGTTCTCTTGTTCCCCCTCAGGTCACAGTTACCTGGAGAGGCTCCTGAATGTGGAGGTTCCCCAGAAAGTCATGTGAGTTTAGTTCTGGGGCTCAGTGATCCGGGATTCAGAGCCTGAGCAGTGATCCCCTGGTTTTGTCTCTGGCTTCTGTACTGCTTGGGGCCTCTGGGGTCTGGCTTAGGTCTCTGTGGACCTCCTGGGTCCCTGTCCCACAGACTATGTAGCAGCTTCCTGTGGGGAAGAGTTGGGGCTCCCTGGGCAGTTCCCACAATACCTCCCACTCTTCTTTCAGCCCTGAGCAGAGGGAGCCCAGCAAAGAGACGGAGCCTGTGCTTGCCATGGAGCTGGAGGTAAGGAGGGCCCGTGGGGAGGAGGGCTGGAGAGAAGTGGTGGGATACTGGTCTTTCAAGCTTATGTCTGAAACCACACCCACTGTAGGCCTTGAGGCCCGGGTGGAGACCCTAGATAGAGCTTGATTTTGCCCACAGGTCTCCAAGAACGAAGAGAGGACCATGGTGCCCCAGGATGCCACCAAGGTTGCCGTGAGCACATCCGATTCACAGTCTGCAACTAGTAGCCAGGACTCACCGTCCAGAGGGCAGCGTGGTGAGCCTTCCCCACCTGCCATGTGCAGAGAGACGCCCATGAGGGACATGTGGCCTCAGCCTAGACTGTTCTCTGGGCCTAAGGAAGCCCAGGTTCTGGGTCTGCAGACGAATGTTGCTGGGGCTGCATCAGTTGCCTCTGAGTTAGGTTTTGCCACCTCCCTCTTGGCCGGAGCAGCCGCCGAGTGCTGTGCGCGTGTTGCCGGCTGGTGGGCACAGGACTCCGGGGGTGGGGACCTGAGCTGGGCCTTTTCCTATCACCTTGCCTGTTGGGGGCCTCCAGCCTGGCCTCTACTTCTTTGTCTGCCTTCACACTTTTGACCCTTGAAGGTCTGCCCCTCCAAAGAGAGCAGTGGGAAGCTGGGCAGGCAAGCCTCAGGCTCTGGGTTCCTGTCTGGGCCCCTCCTGACTTCCAGGCTCTGGGGTGTCCTGAAGTCCAACTCTGGAAAGAGTCTGGCAGCTTCCAGGTCTCCCCTGCGATTGTCCCGACTTTATGATGGGGACAGGGACAATGGCCAGCCAGCCACACAGCTCCCAGGTTTTACTGCCAGAACCCTTTATAGTGATGAAAGATAAGGGCTCAGGGGAGCAATTTTTCCAGGGCCTGCTCCTTCTTAGCAGTGAGACAAATCAGTTACCCCCGAGCTGGCCCTCAGCAAGGCCCCCTCCCCTTCTGTCATGAGCACCGTCTGAAGGCGACAGAAGCCTGCCTCAGAGACAGCCTGCTGGCACCTTCCACACACAGCTGGTGGAGTGTGGCCTCAAGTTTCCCTGACTGGAAGGGACACAGGGACCAGGCCTGGGGTGGGGGGGGGGGGGCTGTACTGCCTGCAGGTGCCATGGGGGCTCTGCCCGCAGGGTCCTCGGGGCCCGTCGGTGCTGAGGCTGGTGCATTTCCCGCTGGCTTTCCTGGGTTCTTCTGGGAGAAGAGCCTCACCGCCCAGGACCACTGCTGAGGTTCCCTTCTTAGCCTGTCCCCCACCCTCGCCCACGGCCGTGCTCCCTGACGCTCCCTGAACTTGCTGTCTTCACACAGAGGCCAAGACTGACCAGATAGATCGGACCGTGGAGCCACCTCAGAGTGCCAGGTTTGCATCGGGGAAGGGGTGTGTGGGCAGAGCTCCCCACTACCTTAGCTGGTGTGTGGCCTAAACTCTGGATAAAAAAGTAGGGGCTGAGGGAGCTAGATATGAGCTGGCCTGGGAGTGGGGGTCCTTCTGCCCAGATGACTTGAGGCTGGCCCACCAAGGACATCCCACCTCTGGAGTCCTTTGGTCCGGCCACAGTTGTTCCCTGGTGACCTTGTGTGGGGTGTGGCCAGGGCTGCAGAAGTCTTGTGGCCTTGACACTGTCCCACCCTCGCTCTGTAGGAGGAAGCGCAGCTACAAGCAGGCGGTGAACGAGCTGGGTGACGAGCAAAACCTGGACGATGAGCAGCTGCAGCCCCCCATGAGCAAGACCCCCTCCCCGCCCTGCCCGCCTAACAAGGCGAGTCTCCCTGGGGGACCCCGGCCCAGCCTTCGGGCCTGACCTCGTCCTTGGGGCCTGACTCTGACCACAGAGTCCTCACCCCTTCCCAGTCCTCAGGCCTGACCCCTCTGGGGAATCAGAGCCTAACCCTGACCCACAGAGACCTGGTCCCGATCTGTCCTGGCCCTCACCCCTTCCCAGTCCTTTGTGCCTGATCCTGACCCATCAAAGCCCGGTCCCCATCTACCCTGGTCCTTACCCCTTCCCGGTTCTCAGGCCTGACCCCTTCCCAGTCCTTTAGGGCCTGATCCTGACCCACTGAGGCCTGGTCCCAATCTTTCCTGGTCCTCACCCTTTCCCAGTCCTTTGTGCCTGACCCTGACCCACTGAGACCTGTTCCTGGTCTATCCTGGTCCTCACCCCCTCCCAGTCCTTGGGCCTGACCCCTTCCCAGTCCTTTGGGGCCTGATCCTGACCCACTGAGGCCTGATCCCGATCTCTCCTGGTCCTCACCTCCTCCCGGTTCTCGAGCCTGACCTCTTCCCAGTCCTGTGGGACCTGACCCTTCACAATGGAGCCTGACCCCCTCCCTGTCCTCGGCCTGACCCGTCCCTTCCGCAGGTGGTGCGCCCCTTGCGGACCTTCCTGCACACCGTGCAGAGGAACCAGATGCTCATGACCCCGACGTCCACGTCACGCAGCAGCATCATGAAGTCCTTCATCAAGCGAAACACTCCCCTGCGTGTGGACCCCAAGGTGAGGCGTGCTGGGAGCCGGGTGGCTCACTCGAACGCTCTGGTCTGCCCGCAGGATGGCTGGGAGTAGCTTGGGTCTGGAGAGGCAGGCGTAGCCTGGGACTGTTCAAGAGCCAGCTTGAGCCTTTGTGGCCACGGGCTTGGTGACAACTGGGGGTGTTGTCCTGACCTGCCGTGGGTGGCAGCCCAGCGTTCCCCTGGCCTGAGCAATGCAGAACTGACCTAGCAGGCCGTTAGCACTGCCCCACTGCCCCCCGTTCCCACACACGGGGTGTGTGTGTGGTTGAGGTGCAGCACACACATGGGCGTGCTCACTCTGGGGCGTGAGGGCTGGATAAGGTGTGAGGCCGTGTGGTGCCACTTGGAGTGCCCTGCAGGCCTGTGGCCGCTTCCCAGGGTGTGCCCCAGCCCGGCATTAACTGTTGGTTTTTTCCTTGTCTCCCCACAGTGCAGCTTTGTCGTAAGTAAAACCTTTCTGTCGTAACGTAGCTCCCCTAACACTCACCGCGTAGCTTCTGTAGCAACACTAACATGTGGGTGGAGGTCCTGAGAGGAGCCGTGGAGAGCAGGAGAGACCCCGGGAGGCTGGTGGGTACCCGGCCCCTCCTCCTCACAGCCTGCCCTCTTTGACCTTGACCCTGCTTCCATGGGCTTGGTCCCAGAGCCCCCCTGAGGCAAGAGAGAGCTGCACGTCACCGGGGTCCCCGCTGGAAGTGTTCCTTACAGCCACCCCCAAATAACCTGCTTCCCTCTGTGTCGGTGGGAGTGGGAAGAGAACAGATGAACTGTTTCTGATCCCCAGAGCCACCCAGCTGCATTAGTTCACAAACCTGAGCAGCCCTGCCTTGAAGAGGCTGAGTGATGGAGGATGAGGGAGGGCTGGGTTTGAACCCTGCTTGCAGGTTCCAGTGGCTCTTGGGTCTGGCTGCTCTAACCGTCGGTGGCTTCTGGGGACCAGCCCCCTGTTCTCTTCTCAGATCCTCAGAGCCACAGGGAGCTGGGGTCCACACAGCCCGCACTCCTGCCTTCCTGGGCTGTTCGCTGAGGCTGCCCTTTCACCCCTTCAGCTGCCACAGACGCTCTGAAGGGACCCGTGCCTGGCTACACAGGCACAGCCTCCAGCCAGGGCCGAACAGCTCTGTCTTGGGGCTGAGTCTTGCCCTTGCCTTGTTCGGGATTGTTTATACGTTTTCTCCTGTATTGTGACTCTGAGTCTTAACGTCTTGCAGAGAATTGAGTGGTGCTCTAGACGTTGCATACTTTCCAACTGTCTAAAGGCTCCGAATCTGAGTCTCACCACTTACCACTTACCTTAGCTCCACACAGGGCCTCGGGTGCCATCTCCACACCCCGTGTGCCACCAACCTGCTGTTGAATACATTTCAACTTGTTACGACCCTTCAGAACATAGTGGAACGGCCTCACGGGCTTTCCAAGCCTTCAGAGTGTCACAGACACAGGCGGCTGCCTCTGGCTTCTGTGGGGGTGCTGGGTGGGCCCAAACCACTGACGTTTTGGTTAACAGCAGAGTGCTCTAACCACGGCGCCACCAGGGCCCTTCCCTGTAGGCTACAGTTGTCTCCTGTTTTGTATTTACATACACTGACTCCACCATCTGAGGGGGGTAGAAGTTTTGTTTTCAACTCTCAGACATGTCAAAGATCTCGAGAGAAAAAGTGTGCCTCAGCTCGCTGCCTTCTGCTCTGCTTGTCCCCTGCTGTCTTTGCCCTCCTCTGTCTGGGAACATGCTTTAGTGATTTCCTCAGAACAGATTGCTGGCAGTGAACCTGCTCGTTTTCCCTTCATCAGATAGTCTGTTTTGCTGTCCTTTCTGAAGGGCGTTTGTGGGTTGACAGTTCTTTGCTCTGAGCCTCTCCATCACTCCCTCTGGAGAGGCCCTGGCTGTGCCCTCTGACTCACCTCCTCTGGGGTGCGGTTCAGTCTTTGCAGTGACGGTTGGACCTGCCGTGGGTGTGCTGCAGCCAAGCCTTAGGTTCGGTCCTTCAAGGCTTTGTTATGATGTTATTGTTATTAAGTGCTGTCGAGTTGACTATGACTCGTAACGACCCTATGAACAACAGATCTGAAGCCTGTCCTATCCCGTGCCGTCCTCACATCTTTGACACATGAGCTCATTGCTGTAGTCACCCTGTCAGTCCATCTAGATGGAGAGCTCCCTCTCTGCTGTCCCTCCACGTTTCCAAGCATGACATCCCTCTCCGAGGAGTAACCTGTCCTGGCAACATGTCTAAAGTATGCGAGACGAAGCTTCACCATCTGTGCCTCCAAGGACACTCTGCCCCCTTTCCAAGACACACCTGTTCTTTGGCGTTCACATGGGAGAGTCAGCACTCTTCTCTTAAGACCACATGTCACAAGGCATCAATTCTGCCATCCTTAATCATTGTCCAGCTCTCATGGTTAGGGTCAGTTCAGGGTGTGTATAGTTTAGAGGTGCCCTGGTTATCCATGAGGAGCCCTGTTGGTGTAGTTGTTAAGTTTTTGGCTACAAACCGGAGGGTTGGTGGTTCCGGTCCCTCAGCTGCTTCGTGGTGTGGAGAGGTGTGGTGGCCGACTCCTGTGAAGTCCACAGGTGTGGGAGCCCCACGGGGCCTATTCTTTGTCCTGTGGGGTCGTTGTGAGTTGGAGCTGACTTGATCGCAGAGGGTTTTGGTTTTTGGAAGCCAATGACAATGAAGAAAAATCATGGGCCAGGAAACATGAATAAGGAATTGACAGGAGGGCAGTGGATTTGAGTTTAGTTATTTAACAAGCAGAATTGATCCTATCATAGTGTTGAAGGCCGGGCCCCTGAGTGCGGGACACTGGCTCCGGGGAAGGCCCATCTCTCGGTCAGCTCCGGAGGAAGCTGCTTGTCACCGTACCGTGTCTCGTCCCCGTCTCTGCTTCACCTGTTTCTCTTCCGTTTTAAATTTCTTTTAATACCTTCAGAGAGACTGACTCAAGGCAGACCCTACTCTGACAGTGTCTCATTACTATGACAAAGAAAACCCACTTCCGCAGTGGGGTTATAACGTCAGGGTTTAGTGAGAAGACAACTTATTGTTTGGGAAGTCACAATTCAGTTCATATAAAGTTCCTTGGTGGCATAGCACATACCAGGTCAGGATGCTGGGTGAAAAGGTTGCTGCTCTGCAGAAGGATGGGCAGTGTCCTGTAAAGAGTTGTGGCCCTGGGAACGTGCCGGAGGGTTGCTCTGAGCTGAGCGGGACTGAATGGCAGAGCGTGTGGGTCTTGGTTTAATTCAGTCCTAGCAGCGGTAAGCCAGGAGCTCATAAACAAGCTCCTGGTGTCGTTTTCCCAGACTCTCCAGTGCTTTGGGGTTCTCTGGGCCTTCCTGTCCCACATCCAGGGACTGTAGCGACCCACACTTGGCTGTGTGCGTCTGTGCCTGTGTTCAGGGACGAGGTGGAGGGAGCTAGAGAAAGAACCGGGCAGCTCCTAGCTTCAACTCCTGCTGGTCCCTCTGATCTCCGCTGTTGTAGGGCTGCTCGTGGGCTGGAGAAAAGCAGGAGGCAAGCGCTGCACTGGAGTTTCTGTCCTCTGGTAGTTCTCCTCTGCTCCTTGAGCTGGGACCTGAGGGCATTTCCTGCACTCCTCTGCCCGCCCAGGCTCCAGGCTGCGTTGAGTGGTCTTCCCCAGCTGCCCGCCGCTGTTTGCTGTGCATTCTGGACAGGCGTCCACACCACCTTTAGTGGGAGAGACAGTGTGGAGCGTCTCCACCATCCCAACGGAAAGCCGAGCCTCTTCTCTCACTTTAAGAGGACCCCGTTCCTTTGGGGCCTGATTTCTAGCGGGGAGTGCACCCCTCTAGAGGCTAGGGGAGATGAGCAGGGTCTGGGGGGAGCTAGGTAGACTGGTGGGGGAGAAGTGCCACCTTGAACTCACCTCTCCTGGTCATTCAGGTGTAAGGGACTCGTCTCATCCTTGGCTAGGGTGGCCCTGGAGCCCCTGCCCATCCCTGCTGGTTGCCCGTGCTGTGGTTATACCGCAGGGGCCTCTCTGGGCCTGCTCACGAGGCTGGTCCCACCACCAAGCTGCAGTACAACCAACTGGAGCTTGAACAGAGTTGTGATTGTCATGCAGCTGTAGTACCAAATGTGAAGAATAAAAGGGGTAATACCACCCCCAAATCTCACCATTCTGTGCTACCTCGCTTAGCATTTGGCTAGATTTTATATTCTTCCAGCAGTTAAGGTTGATAATCGCTCTCTCACCAAGTTTTAATTGATCCACCAGCCAGTTTTCAGAGGCTGTAAAATTGCTTGGGAGAAGATAACCCATCTTTCTTCTTCGAAGCAGCTGGTGGATTCGAACTGCCACTTTGGGGTTGGCAGCAGAACTCTCTCCTGACTAGGCCACCAAAGCCCCCTAAAAGTTGGTGCAGACAGGAGAATTTGTGTACACACACACACACACGTTATGAGGCGTCATACGAGCAACACTGGCTGCTTCGCGATAGAAGGATTGGCATTCGCTTCTGTGCGATTTTTAACCTCTGAAAACCCGCCGGCGGGTCAGCTAGCAGTTTTGCCCCAGTGGTAATGAGGAGTGACAGTACTTTTCAGAGCTGAGAGTGCCTCGCACCGTAACCAGCCCTTCAGAGCTGTGTTTCCCAATCTCATTCTCATTTCAATGCCTGCTTTTCCACCATGGCCCCTGATTTTGCTGCTGCCTGTGGCTTGGCAGGACTCGTGTCGTCGGGAGGATAAGCCGGAGCCCCAGGACTTGGGGGGGTAGAGGCAGAGATGGAGGGCCGGACGGGGAAGTGGGGGAGGCGACGCTGCTGATTCTAAGCAGATGAGAATGAGAAGTCACTGCTGCCGTCCTGGCTGGGTCCCCTGGGGCTCCACTGGCAGAGCTTTGGGTTGAGGGGCTGTCCCGAGCTGGCCACCTCACCGGCCCTGGCCTCCCCAGGAGAAGGAGCGGCAACGCCTGGAGAACCTGCGGAAGAAGGAGGAGGCGGAACAGCTCCGCAGGCAGAGGGTGGAGGAGGACAAGCGGCGGCGGCTGGAGGAGTTGAAGCTGTAAGTGGCCCGCAGCCCTGCTCGCTGGCCCGTCCCGTCCCAGCCCCGGCCTCAGTGGGGCAGCCGTGACGGCCCTGTGCCCGCAGGAAACGTGAGGAGCGCCTCCGCAAAGTGCTGCAGGCCCGGGAGCGGGTGGAGCAGATGAAAGAGGAGAAGAAGAAGCAGATCGAGCAGAAGTTTGCCCAAATCGACGAGAAGACCGAGAAGGTGCGCGCCTGGGGCGGGTGGGTGGCTGGCCTTGGGGAGGGTGCCCCCAGAGGGGAGCCGAGCGGCTGGGATCCAGTGGCCTGAAGGCTGGATGCCCCCTTCCATCCTCCCTGGTCCGGGGAGTGAAGGCCGGGGCTCGCTGTTCCCAGCAGCCTTCTGCGAGTGGGCCCGCCGACACCGGGGCAAGGCCCACTCCAGAGCCCGCTGCCGGCTCTGTGGGTTTGCATGGAGGCCTGGCCATGCCACTGTGGACGCATGCGGCCGACTTGAGTGAGCAGGGCCACTCACTGGGCACCTGGGCCGGGCCTCCGCAGGCTAAGGAGGAGCGGCTGGCAGAGGAGAAGGCCAAGAAGAAGGCGGCCGCCAAGAAAATGGAGGAGATGGAGGCACGCAGGAAGCAGGAGGAGGAGGCACGGAGGCTCCGGTGGCTCCAGCAGGTGAGAGCACAAGTGGGCAGAGGGCTGGACGTCAGGAGAAGGGCCACAGGGCAGGGGTGAAGGTGGGGCCGCAGGGAGCACATTGCGGGGTTCCCTCCCTGCCTTGCGAGACTCAGTAAATGGGATGGAGATTGTGACAGTGGTGGAGACCTGCCTGCTGTTTTCTGTACAGGTGGCACTTGGAAGGCTAAGTGCCTGAACACTGACGCCTGACTGTCCCGAGTTCCAGCCTCAGCTCTGCTGTTGGTTAGCTGTGTGACTTTGGGCAGGTTACTTGACTTGACTGTGTTCCTGTCACTTCAGGTAACACCAGGGTATTCAGTTACCTGGTGCTGCCGTAACAGAGTCTGCAAGTGACTTTAACCAACCACAGAATCCCACTGCCATCCAGTCATTCAGACTTGCTAGTGACTCTGGGCTGCGTTTTGATCTCAAGGGAAGTGAACGGCCTCATCTTACTTCTGAGGAGGGGCCACTAGCTGGTGGTTTGAACCACCGGTGTTTTGGTTAGCTGTCCAGCGTTTTCCCCGCTATGCTGCCAGGACCCCTTTGGCTTTTGTTGTTTGGTGCTGTTGTGTCGATTACGACTCAGCAGCCCCGTGCACAGTGTCTGAACCTTGTCCTATCCTGTGCCATCCTCACAATCTCTGATGTGCCCAAGTTCATTGCTACAGTTACTGTGTCTCTCCATCTTGTTGAGGGTGTTTCTTTCCTTTTCTGGTCATCCACCTCTCTGGTATATCTTTTTCCAAGGACTGGCCTCTCCTGCCAACATGCCCAAAGATTGTGAGATGAAGTTTCACCGTCCTTGCCTCGAAGGAGCACTCTGGTTGAACTTCCTCTGAGACAGACTTCCTTGTTCTTTTGACATCAGGACCTGTGTTACTTAAGGGCTAACACCCATAGGGAGTGTTTCCGTTGTGCCAGGCACTGTTATAAGTGGGTTATGTGTATGACCTCTGTAACTCCATGAGGTGTAAGCAGTGCTGTGGTCTCTGTTCTGTAGGTGAGCACACAGGTTAGAGGTCCAGGGCTCGTAACTGCTTAATGAAAAGGGTTGTCACAAGGTGCTTTGAAACTGGTTGTGAAGTTTCTGGCCAGGTGCAGCCTGGTGTTCTGTGACCTGTCAGCCCTGCGGGTGACAAGGATGCTGGCTGACACAAGAAGGGCGTCAGGCCCTCCGAGCCTCTTGTCAGCTTTCCCACTAGCCCTCTTCCTGGCCGGTCTGGTCAAAGGGCCTGACCTTGCTCTCTGGTTAAAATTCTCAGGAGGAGGAGGAGCGACGGCACCAAGAACTACTTCAGAAAAAGAAGGAGGAAGAACAGGAGCGCCTGCGAAAGGCGGCTGAGGCCAAGAGGCTGGCGGAGCAGCGTGAACAGGAGCGGAGGGAGCAGGAGAGGCAGCTGGCCGAGCAGAAGCGCCGGGAGCTGGAGCGCAAGAAGGAGGTGGAGCGACTCCAGGCTGAGAGGTGAGGGCCGGTCATGCTTACTCTGGACTCCTGTGTGTGTGGGCCTAACAGTCTCTTAGATGACGCCCCAGCTCTCACCTTTTAGTTTCTGTGTGCACGTGTGAGAGAGCGAGCGTGCGATGAGTGGTTGCCCAGGTGCCTCACCCACCATCACTTGGCAGTTTCCACCACAGGGACCACCACGGTGCCTGGGGCTCTGGGGACACGGCAGTGAGTTGGCATTTTGTCTTGCTTCTGCTTCCAACTGCCTGTGCCAGCCCCTTCGGTTCATTTTCTCCTTGCCTGATTCAAGGGTGGCCGGGACGAACCTGTGTTGTAATCAGGACACTGCTGTGCTTGGAAGCTGGAGGGCCCTGTGTGTGTTGGACGCCTCACAGGAAGTGTGGCATCCTTGGCCACAGCTCGTGGCAGTGGCACCCAGCTTGTCTCTCTCTCAACTGCCCTCCAGTCTCAGACTGTCTTCTCTTGGGAACGCTGGACCAGGTGACCCCTGGCTCTCCAGAGAGTCAGATGCTGTGTGCTCTGCAGTGGACAGGAAGGCTGCCATCGGTGGGACAGGCGCAACCGGGGTCCACCCTGTGTCTGTTGTGCTGGCCCTGGGGTGCAAAGGCAGTGAGATACAGTTGCTGTTGGTTGGCAGATCTGTGGGATCCTGTGTTAGTAAATAGTCCTGGTGGCACCAGTGGTTAAGGGATCAGTGGCCACCCAACCTCTAGGGTTGATGGTTCTAATCCACCAGCCAGTGCACAAAAGAAAGTTGTAGCAGCCCCTTCCCTGAAGCCTCAGAGACTGTGGAGGATTTTACTTGAGTTTGGGGTTTTTGGTGCCTGTTAGCGTAGCCGTTGTTGTTGTTGTTGTTGTTGTGTGCCATTGAGATGGAACCCATAGCTCATCCTCCAGCGGGTTTTCGGAGGCAGTAAGTGGCCCGGGAGGAGCTTGCCCATCCTTCCACAGAGCTGCTGGTGGACTCAAACTACAGGCCTTTGGGATTGCAGTGCAGCTTCTTCCCAGTAGGCTAGTAGAGTTTCCTTAGTGTAATTGAGCATATGTATAAGTCAGATGGTCCTGCACCGGTTGTACAGACACCGACATCTAGACCCCAGCCTTCCTCTCCCGCTTCCACCTTCTGGGGAGACCAGGAATCTGGGCAAGACACTTGACTCAGACCTTATCTGAAGGGTGACTGGCCCATTGGAGTGGTGGAGGGGGGCGGGTTACAGCCGAGGGCCCTGCAGGGCTGCAGTTGACCCCCAGGGCTGTGTTGGGTCGACTGTCACAAAGATGTCCCTAGTCCTGTGGCTGAGTCTGAGTGAAGCACGTGACCGTCAGGGAGGCAGGGTGAGCCGCAGCTAGTGTGTCTGGAATCGAATGATGTGCTGTGTGGGTGTGAAGCGGCCCAGCCACCTGTCGGGCTCTAAGCTCTGCCCTTTTCCTCGCATACCCCTCTCCTGAAAGGCCCTTACGGGCTCAGAACCGTCAGCTGTTTCGGAGGAGGGAACCAATTCAGAGGATGACTGAGCTATTCAGGGCCACAAGCTAGGGAGCTGTGGAGGTGACTCCGAGACCCGGGAGCAGCCAGTGTCTGCCCTGCGGGTGGGGGGGGGCACCTGTGTGGTCCTGGGGACTTAACCACGGCATCTCATTTACATCTCGAGATGACCCATTCTACAGAAGAGAAAACTGAGGCCCAAGAGACCTGAGCTTTGGGGAACAATGGGTCCCAGACTTTGAGGGTGTTGACTCCCATTCCCTGGCCCTTGGAGTGTGCACTTCAGGCAAAGGTGCAGCCGTGGGCTCTGCCCCAGTGTGTGAGGACCACTATCATCTCCCCGTGAGGTGGGTCCTGGCTTCTTGCCCTGGCAGACTCTCACTTGGTCCTCAGGGAGGCTCATGAGAAGGAGAAGGCACTGCGGCTTCAGAGGGAGCTGGAGGAGAAGAAGCTCAAGGTCAGGGCTGGGATGTGGCGCCCCGTGGGAGAGCAGGGAGGCCTGGGCTGGTGACTCGTACAGAGGCTGCCTTGCTGCCATGCTGTGTGTGGGAGGGCTTACCTCGCTGCCATGCTGTGGGGGGGGAGGACCTGCCTCGCTGCCGTGCTGTGTGGGAGGGCTTACCTCGCTGCCATGCTGTGTGGGAGGGCTTACCTCGCTGCTATGCTGTGTGGGGGAGGACCTGCCTCGCTGCCATGCTGTGGGGGGGAGGACCTGCCTCGCTGCCGTGCTGTGTGGGAGGGCTTACCTCGCTGCCATGCTGTGGGGGGGAGGACCTGCCTCGCTGCCATGCTGTGGGGGGGAGGACCTGCCTCGCTGCCGTGCTGTGTGGGAGGGCTTACCTCGCTGCCATGCTGTGAGGGGGAGGACCTGCCTCGCTGCCATGCTGTGGGGGGGAGGACCTGCCTCGCTGCCACACTGGACGAGGGGCTGGAGTAGGGGAGCGGAGGGTACCATGGCTTCCTAACACCTTGACTGGTGGATGGGTCCCAGGAAGAACAGCAGCGCCTGGCTGAGCAGTGGCTGCAGGAGGAGCAGGAGAAGAAAACCAAGGAGGCGGAGGCGGAGGCGGAGGCGGCCAGCAAAGGGCCAAACGTGACCATGGACGTGGAGGTGAGGCGGGGCCTCCAGGCAGAGTGGGCCCTGCAGGAATCATGCTCTTCCCTGTAGCCGGGTTCCTGGCCAATCTGGGACCTGAGGAAAGGGATGGGTTCAGTAGGCCTCGCGGATTTTATGCTTTTTGAGGTATATATTCTTTGTGGTTCCAGAAGTACAATTTGTTGTAAAAAAGAAACTAAACTGTATGTTATTGTGCTGTACTGTCAAGTTGGATCTGACCCATAGCTGTCCCTTCGCGGGTTTTCAGAGGCAGTTAATCGCACAGGAGGAGACTATCCATCCTTCTCCCACAACTAAACTATATAGTGGGAGCATAAAATTTTTTAAAAAGTACTCTCAGAAATAAACGATTCCACTTCATGTATCTATATATATAAAATATTTAGAATCATTTTGCAGATACACTTGCTCACATGCGTATTGTGTGTGTGTATATAAGACTTGTATTTTTTTTAATTAATTTTAATGAAAGTTTACAGAGACTTATGGATCCCAGTCATTGATTGTTGCACACATGCGTAGTTTTAAAACCTGCAGCGTACGCGAGCACATGGCTCCTTGGTCCCCGTCTCCTGTTACCACTTCACTTACTGTGTTGTTAGGTGTGCTGTCACCGTGACTCATAGCGACCCTGTGAAAACAGACCTGAGCCCCACCTTATCCTGCGCCACCCTCACCAGCCACGTTACAGTCACTATGTCGGTCCATCTTGCTGAGGTCCTTCGCTGCCCCTCCACCTTTCCAGGCTTGCTGTTGACTCCCAAGGACTAGGCCCTGTGTCAGCGCTGGAAGCCTCTTTTTACTGGTTGTGTGGGTTTCCTTATTAGTGAAGCCCTGGTAGCATAGTGGTTAAGTGCACAGCTGCCAACTGAAAGGTCAGTGGATTGAACCCACGCAGCGGCCCTGCAGGACAGCCCCTGCTGATGTGTGCTCCCGTAAAGATTTACCACCTTAGAAAGGCTGCAGGTCGTTCTCATAGAGCTCGATGGCGACAGGCTTGCTCTTGGGGCTTTGGGGTGGTCCTCCTTAGTTGGGATGTGTCGGGATTTCCTCAGCCAGCCCCTCTGGCTGAGCTGATCATTGCACTTTCATAGCGCACATTATTTCAGAAGGAGACAGATCTCTCTTGGAAGACCTGCAACCAGAGTTGCTTCCTAGAGACAAAGCATTAGCCTTTGGGCATGTTATCCGATGGGACCGGGCCCTGTGCTTGGGAAGGTCCAGGGTCAGTGAAGGAGAGGCGGACGCTTAACGGGATGGTTCAACAATGAGTGCAGCAGTGGGCTCGACCACCGCGGAGACTGAGGCTGGCGCAGGCGTGGGCAGGTGGTTCTGTCAGTGCGTCACTCAGAGTCAGAGTCAACCGGCTGGTGCCCAGCAACAGTTCTTGAGCATCTTGGCGGTTCCTGGTTGACTGCTGTTACAGGCAGAATGTATGAGGAAGTGTTTTCACTGCAGCGTAGTTTACAGTATTAGCCATGTTCCTCCCTGGTGGTTGTTTACATCACGGATCAGTGCCCCGTGTGATATCCTGGAGTCCCGGTGCGGACAGAGGTGCATCGGTCCACACTGGCCTGGCGGGATGCTGTGGGATCCTGGAACGGGAAAAGGAAGAGAGTAGTGGTGGTGGTGGTGGAGAGGTGTTCGACTTACTAATATTTAAAAGCTGGTCCTGGAAGTTTTAATTTTTCCTGTGAAGCAAGAATGGGGATGAGACCCTGGCACCCCCTGTTCCTTGCTCTGTCCCCCTGGGGCTCAAGGAGCTTACCACCATGCCGTTCTCTTCCAGTCTCCAGTTTGTACCTCTTATCAAATGACTCCACAAGGGCGCAGGACGCCCCCCCAGATCAACCCGGACGACTATGGCTTGGACCTGAACAGCGATGACTCCACAGATGACGAGTCCCACCCTCGGAAGCCCATCCCTGCTTGGGCCCGCGGTAAGCGGCCACAGAGCTCCCGGGAGGCTTGGTCCCCACCTGTGCCCTGTAGAGCACTGGACACTGCAGTAGCCAAAAGGTTACCTCCTGACAAGATACCTCCAGCCTCTGGGCGTGTGCCCCGGGGGCTCACGGGAAGGCCACATCTGCAGTGTTGGTCCTATTTGTTCAGACATAAATCACGGCTGACCTGGAGTTAGGCCTCGTGCCGAATATTATAGCTTGGGCTGTGTGCTCCCTTCTGAGAATCCCACCCAGGCGGTTAATAAGACAGGGATCCAGTTAAGCAGCCAGGGTTTAATCAGGGCGTTAAGATGTTTAGACTAAGAGCTGGGCCTTGGGGTTCCAGCCGAGTGAGGGAGGCCGGAGAGGAGGGAGCAGGGTTTGCCCTAGTGTTGAGTGGCTCAGTGTTGAAAACACCGTGTGACCAATGTGACTGCTGCCTCAGGGCTGAGAGCAAGGCCTGCTGGGAGCGAACAGCCAGTCAGCACACAGCAGCCTCACTTCCCACAGTGAAGGGCCAGAAAACCCGCAGGGGGTCAGCTCTGACGGAGACCGCCTGCCACCCCCTGTGTCGAGGATTCTGCTCGGCCTCCCTCACTGCTTGCGGACATCATCAGAGAAGGGGCAGTGGGCAGGGGTCCACGCAGCCCCTGAAGAACATCATGGCCGATTGTAGACAGCTGAGAAGGTGGTGACGCTAACCCCCAGGAGGGCAGGTGTGCTAGTACAGGACTGTCTGTGAAAGCCGGAACCTTTGTAAGGCAGAAGCCTATCAGGGAAGTAAAAAAAAACAAACCATTTTCTATCAAAATGAGTGATGGACAGATGGTAAGACTGCGTCCTGTCCAAAACGAAAGACTTGTGAGACCAGAACTCCCTTCGGATTTCAGCTAGTGCAGGTTTCCAGCTTTTGCAGCTTCCTGGCTCTCCCAGGTTTCCTATGAAAGCACTTGGAAGAGTGTCTGGTACAGAGCCAGGGCCGGGTGCCCCCCTCCCTCCCCCTGACACTCCAGGTCCTTGTCACCTTGATGGGCACTGCACCTCGCCTGGCTTCAGTCTGGCTGGGGAGAAAAGACCCTCCTTCTTGGTCTTGGGTCTGGGCCCTGGCCCACATAAGTCCCTGAGGACCTGTGTGTAGGTTAAGCCAGCAATGAGAATATGAAATCGCAGCATCACCAGGGCTTGGTGGTGTGGAGGCAGGAGGAGGGCTCCATGTGTCCACAGGCAGCAGAGGGTGATGGCCCCGTGGGCAAGGTAGTGACCCGCTTTCCTGTGTCCTCTAGGCACCCAGCTCAGCCGCGCCGTCATCTACCAGTACTACAACCCCCCGAACCTTCTGGAGCTCTTTGGGGCCAGTATCAATCTCACAATGGACTTGGAGGACGTCTTCAAGAAGAGCAAGCCTCGCTACCACAAACGCACCAGCTCTGCCTTGTGGAACTCGCCGCCCCTGCAGGGCCCCAGGGTCCCTGGCAGCCTGGCCTACAACTTGAAGAAGTGCTGAGCCGGGCCCACAAGCCTCTACAGGCAGCCTTGTCCCGTCTGGGTCTCGTGTCCGACTCTGCTGGTCTGGTACCCTTCTACCTGGTGTTACTGAGGGTCAGGTCAGGTGTGAACAAATGCCTTCTGTGCCAGGTGTTTCTGTCACAGGTGGAAGGTGACCCAAGGCCTGTTTGGAGGCTAGGCTTGGTGTGTGGTTGAGGAGAACCAGCCCCACCCGGCCTGTAGGCAGCACTCTGTAAATAGGTTGTTATAATTTAGCTAACTTTTTTTAGCCTCTAGTGTTTAAAAACTAGATTAATAAAGTGTATTCCTTCAAGCCTGCTTTAACTCTTGTGAAGGCTGGGGGTCCTGAGCAAAATGCCCAGTCGCCCTGTGTTTGGGCCCTTGGTCTTCACCAGGGTGTGTGTCAGGATCACCTGGCTGCCCAGGTCAGAATGTGATCTCCGTCCTTCCTAACTCCCCGGGGATGGATGTGCAGTCCTGGACCAGCCCTGAGAAGGTGGTGTGCTTCATTACTTTCGTGAAGGTGCATGCAGAGATACTCTTCACGGGTCCGTGGGGAAGGCCTGGGATTGAGGGCAGGATACTTGGGCTCTTTTTTTAAAAAAAAAATAGAAACGATTTTATTTTGTTATTATTGAAAATATATACAACATAATATACATCATGTTTCTACATGTGTGATTCCATAACATTGATTATATTCTTCCGATTGTACATCCGTTTGAGCCACCTTTTCTGAGTTGTGCTTCCCCTCGTTAACATAAACTCGCTGCCCCTCGAGGTTCCTTCCTCTCTGATCTTTCAAGTCCATGTTGCCACCTGGATCTCCTGTTGATACTTCTGGATTACGTCTCATCATCAAGAAGACAAAATTCCTCAGCGCCAGGCCAGTAAACCACACCGTGACCTAGGGAGAAACAATTGTAATTGCCAACAGTTTCATCTTAACTGGGATGCACAGTCAACATCTGTGGCACCAGCGGTCAATCAAAAGATCAGTGGGAAAGTCTGCTGTCAGGGGCCTTGCCAAAGTGCAGAGGTACAGTGATGTTGTGAGGACCGAGGGGGGTTTTCAGTCACCTGCTAAGCATCTGAGAGCTGGACCATGAATAAGGATGACAGAAGAATTGATGCCTTTGGGCTGTAGTGTTGGAGAACAGTACTGAACGGCCCGTGGACTGCCTGAAGGAGGGACAGTGCAACTTTTTTCTTGGAAAAAGTGCAGAGTGTTTCTTAGAGGTAAAGTTGGAGGAGGTTCATCTCACTCACTTTGGGCATGTTGCTCAAAGAGGCTACTCCTTGAAAAGGGACACCATGCTTGGAAGTGTGGAAGGTCGGCAAAGGAGAGGAAGACCTTAGTGAGGTGGATTGACTCAGTGATTGCAGTCGTGGGCTTGGGGATGGAGAGGTGGCACGGTCTAGGACAGAGTTCAGATCTGTTGTTCTTAGGGTCACTGTGAGCCGGACTCCACTCAGTGGCCCATAACAGAAGCAGTAACAGTTGCCATCAGGTTGGTTCCGACTCAGCAGTCCTGTGCCCGACAGAATGATACACATCCCAGTCCTGTCCCAGCCTCACAGTTGCTGGTCCTGACTGAGCCCGATGTTGGAGACACTGTCTCATTGAGAACCTTCCTCCTTTTTGGTCACCCTTACTAATAGGCATGATACCCTCCTCTAGGGACTAGCACCTCCTGATAACATGCCCAACAAAAGGGAGACAAAAGTCTGACCATCCTAACATCGAGGACCATTCTGGCTATACTTCCAGCTTAGTTGTATTTGTTATCTTGGCAGTCCATGGTACCTTTCAATGTTGTCCATCAGCACCATAATTCAAAGGCATAACTTCTTTGGTTTTCCTTATTTATTATCTAACTTCCACATGTATATGAAGTGATTGAAAATAGTGGGGATTGGTCAGGTGCACCTTAGCTTTCAAGGTGACATCCTTGCTCTTTAGCAGCAGACCGACCAAATGCAATACGTCATCTGATTTCTTGACTGCTGCTTCCATGGATGGTGATGGTGAATCTAAGTAAAAGGAAATCCTTGACAACTTGAATAATTTCTCCATCCACCATGATGGATAGTAAGTCCATTGTGAGGATGTGTGTGTGTGTGTGTGTGTGTGTGTGTGGATGCTGCAAAGCCAAAATGACACTTCTTAACCATTTTTATTTACTGTTTGAGAAAAATTACTCACAAGCAACAGTAGTTCAAGTGTCCTTCATCCTCAGCAGTGCTTGGTTGTGTCTGTGTGTTAATGTTTTTTTCAGCCATTCATATACCTATGTGATGATACCTTCTCGTAGTTCCTGAATGATTGATGAGGGGGCTATTGTGGTCTAGTCTGTAGAGAATTGTGCTGTTAACTCAACGGTGGCATCTTAATTGCATTGCTTGAATCCACAGCCACTACTTTGGAAAAAGACGGACAGTCTCCAGTTTGATTTACAGGCTTGGAAATCCAGTGGAGTTTCAGCTATGAGTCGATTCAAGACTCCACAACACTGGGTCTGAGTTTGAATGACTGATGATGGTGTATGTCTTTTCACGCGCATACCTCTATTCATGTTTGTCAACTTTCTAGGTATGTTGTTTATTGAATTTTAAAGAGCACCTGCCAATATGACTTGTAAACTTGAACTCAAACAAGTTGGAGGATAGGATACAAAAATTAAAAGGGAAAAGAGTTCTTTGTGGATACAAATCCTTTGTTACATATTTTCAGAATTTTCCCCCAGGCGGAACATGTCACTTAACAATATTCATAGAACAAATTTGTTAATATTTGAAGTCTTATTTATTAGATTTTAAAAATGTGCTTTTTGTGATATATCTTTTAAAAAGTGTTGTAAGCAATAAGTCTTGAAGTTTTTTCCCTTAAGGTTTCATAATTTTACAAATTAGATTTGGATTTATGATCCCTTTTGAACTCATTTTTCCTAAAGTTTTTGCATGTCTATTTCTTCCTGTAATTTGTTCAAAGAAAGATCCTTTTAACAAAATTCTCTACAGAATTTTCTTTAATTCTTCCATACAAATCCTAACCAGACTCATACCTGCTTAGCTTTTGAGATCATATGACTTTGGCACATTCAGGGTCATCTGAGTATAGATAGAATTTCCTCGGATTCTTTGTCATTGTTCAATTGGCCGTTATCTGTGTGGGCCTGTTTCTAGGCTCCTTAATCTCTGTTCATCTGTATGTCTATCCTTCACCAGCCCACATGGTCAAGATTACTTTAGCATGGTAAGAGTAAACAATATTGCTGCTGTGATTCCTCCAACTTTTTAGGAATTATTTTATCCGAATACAAGCAGCTGTTTGTATACAGAAAGACTTGGAATTTTTATTACAATGTGTAGATAAAGTTGGGGAGAATGAACACATATAATGAGTCTTCTATGAACAGGATAGATAACCCCATTTATGTCCGATTTGTTTCATTAGCTTTTTGAAATATAGCATAACATTTTTTGGTATATGTTGTGTTAGACCAATGCGTATTTCAGATTTTTTCAGGCTATTTCCAGATTTCTGTGTCTGCTTTGTTGGTGTATGGAAATGCACTTGGTTTTTGTGTATAAGTGTATATCTTGCAATGCAACTAAAGCAGTACTTAGAGGAAAACTTGTAGCACTAAGCATGAGGTGAGTAGTCTCAAGTCAATGATCTGAGCTCCTATTTCTTTTTTTTCCCCCACCAATTTATTTTTTGAGCTCCTATTTCAAGACATTAAATACAAAGTAACACATCACATAAACAGAAGAAAGAAAATGAAGGTATAAGCAGAATCAGTGCAACAGAGGGGAAAGAAATGGAGATTAATGAAATCAAAATCTGGTTCTTTGAGATGATCAAGAAAATTGATAATCCTCTGTCTACTCGTTAGTGTAAAAAAGCCAGTTTCAACATAAAAATTCCCCACCACTCAACATGAAAAACTCCATCACTGGACCTACAGGAAACATCATAACATACTGTTAGCAACATGATAGAGGAAAAAAAAATTGAAGCCATCAACAATTTCGTTTTACTTGGATCCAGTCAGCATCTCTGGTAGTTGTTGATTGCCTTCAAGTTGAGCATGACTCATTGACCCTATGAACAAAAGGCCTGAAGCCTTTTTATAACATTTATCAAAGTTCATAGTTTCCTGAGGCATGCTTTTTAGGAAGTGGATGCCACTCCTGCTTTGAAAATATTTGTGGGTGCAGTGGTCAAATCAAAGGCCATGTTGCACTGGGAAAATCAATCTCCAGAGTAACAAAGATCAGTGCCCGATTCAAACCATGGTATTTTCATCTGCTTTTTATATATCTAAAAGTTGGATAGTGAATTAGGATGACAGGAGATGAAATGATGTCATTGAATTGTGCTGGTGAAGAGTATTGAAAACAAATATGATCAATTGATTTTTAACTACTCAGTATGTGAGATGGAAGTTTCACTGTCCTTGCCTTTGTGGAGTATCCTGGTTTCTCATTCTCCAGGACAGACCTGTTCTCTTGGCTGCCCGTATCTGCTGTCAGGGACCTTTCTAGAGTACTTACGCACAATGATGTCAGGTTAAGGTGCACATGGTCCAAGTCATGGTCTTCATGACTTACTGTGTATCTGAAAGTTGGACAGTGAATAAGAATGAAAGAAGAATCAATGTCGTTGAGTTGTCCATGGACTGCCAAGTTGTTAAGTGTCATCAAGTTGAGTACAACCTCATAATGACCCTATGAACGGCCAACCTGAACCCTGCCCTGTTTTGTGCCATCCTCACTATCTTTGAAACACTCAAACCCTGCTGAAGTCATCATGTCAATCCATCTCATTGGGGGTCTTCCTTTGCTGAGTACTTCCATTTTTCCAAGCATGTCTCTACAATAAACAGCTGCATGTCCAAAGTATGAAAGATGAAGCTTTACCATCTTTGCTTGCAAGGAGCATTCCTGAACCCCACCCCTGCCCCCAAGACATATCTGTTTGTTCTCTTGGCA